AGTAGTAGTAGTAGCTAGTAGTAGTAGTAGTAGTAGTAGTAGTAGTAGTAGTAGTAGTAGTAGTAGTAGTAGTAGTAGTAGTAGTAGTAGTAGTAGTAGTAGTAGTAGTAGTAGTCGTAGTCGTAGTCGTAGTAGTACGTAGTCGTCGTAGTCGTAGTCGTAGTCGTAGTCGTAGTCGTAGTCGTAGTCGTAGTCGTAGTCGTAGTCGTAGTCGTAGTCGTAGTCGTAGTCGTAGTCGTAGTCGTAGTCGTAGTCGTAGTAGTAGTAGGAGTAGGAGTAGGAGTAGGAGTAGGAGTAGGAGTAGGAGTAGGAGTAGGAGTAGGAGTAGGAGTAGGAGTAGGAGTAGTAGGAGTAGTAGGAGTAGGAGTAGGAGTAGGAGTAGGAGTAGGAGTAGGAGTAGGAGTAGGAGTAGGAGTAGGAGTAGTAGTAGTAGTAGTAGTAGTAGTAGTAGTAGTAGTAGTAGTAGTAGTAGTAGTAGTAGTTGTAGTAGTAGTAGTGGTCGGTAGCAGTAGTAGTAATAGTATTAATGTTGTAACAACTAGCACTACGACTAACAGTGACAGTGAAAGACGAACTTCTTTTACTACAGATTAAACATACGGTTATTCTCATTCTCATAATTTCTATTCCTACTAATACGATTTGTTAGTAGCCAGTCTACGACTAGATAGATTTCTTCGTAGGGTAATTTTCATACGCTTGCGAATCGTAGCGTTAATAATGATAATGAGAATGTAAGCCAGAGCCACTGATGCTACGGAAACTTCTCTTCGCACGGATGCGAAAGCGAATAGTAATGCTTATACTGTTGTTTATTATGATACGATTGCCAGTTCTAGTGTTACGAATGCTCCTACGATGCCGAGTCGCAATAACTATGCTCAGATTAATGTAGTATTACTACGCATACTAGCACTTACAGTAATAGTATAACAAATACTGATCGTCGTGTTAGCACTGGAACGAATACCAACACAGCGTCTGATGCGAATACCAGTGCTACTATGACTGCACATATTCATATTGATACGAATACGAATGCGGATCTCAATACCGTTACGAGTGCCAGTTCTTATGTCAACGCTGAAACGAACACGAATACGAATGCGAATCCGAATGCGCGTGCGATGTGTTTATGCGAATGGCAGTACCAGAACTGAATATGATACTGGCGATCTTACTGATCCGCAGTTGCCCTTGCACGCATACTTATACATACACGGGCACTGTTACTAGGATTACTACTTGTTTTACTACTTGTTCCAATAAGTATTTCGGCGAATGAAATAATAACATGTTCTACAAGTGCTGCGACCCATAGTCTACCGTACTACTATCACTACGGTTGATCATACTTGAAAGTAACAGTGATACGAATACAAATGCGATCGCTAGCGCTAAAACGAGCAATCGTAACAATATTCAGATGGGCACTGATACGACGACTGGAAGGTATCATGAATACGAGTACGAATGCGAATGCGAATGTGAACGGTGATGCTCCAGCTAGTATTTACATTGATTTTCATATTCGTAGCAATGTGACTAGTACTTTTTCAATAAATAGACTGCGAATGCGAATGCCAACGGAAGGCCACGGGAGGCCCGACCGATTCCGAATCCGGCAACGCACCTCCTAGAGGCAAGTGGAGGCCACTGGAGGCTACGACGCCCCACCGCTTCCGGATCTGGCATCGCACTCACAAGCTTATGGGGAAGCATAAGTATTCGGGTGTTGCTAGAAGTACCCCTGGCCCAAGGTGCCCCCAGAATTCTCGGGGTGGCCCAGACGGCCTCCAGGGCACCCCTCACGAGCCCCAGGGGGCCCCAGGGGCTCCAAAAAAGTGCGACACGCTGGGGGCACCTTGGGCCAGGGGCACTTCTAGCAATATCCGATAAGTACGTAGACCCCACACACGCTGTTCGGGGAAATGTCGGATGCAGTAAGTGGTCGGCAAGCGCTTGGAAGCTAGGTAGGGTAGCGTTGGGTCTCATAACCTGACATGCCTTCAGCGCCTTCCCATTCCAAGAGCCGGAGGGTCCAGAGGGTCTGGTTTTGTCCTCCCCTTCCTTTGTCCTTCCCTTCCCAGAGGCGGCCCGACACCCAACATATCTCGAACGCCTTCCTAGTCAAGGTTTCCGCCTGCGGTCCGGAACGTTTGCTTAGCGTGTCGCGGCGCCGGTTCTGGCCCACCACGCTTCGGCTCGACACGTTAGGCACGTCCCAGTCCACAAGCATCAGCATAGAGAGCATTTCCCAGCCTCCCGTCCCACGAACCAGAGCGACACGCTATCCGCTTGCGAGGGATAGCGTGTCGCCGGGGCCGCCGCCGCGACACGCTGCAAAACGAACTGACCGTGGTGGGGGCGAAAGGTGCAGGATGAGTCTGGGTTGCGCCCAGGCGTGAACGGGACAGCCACACTGGAATCATCGCCTGAAGAAGCGCCAAGGCCATCCGGAGCGTGCTCGGCACGAGATTCGCAGGCCGCTTCGAACCGGAGCAAAGCGGCTCGAGCTGTGTTCGAATCGTGTTTACAAGTCGCACCCTATCCATATGCTGGCTCCTGTCGATCCACTCTGTCGAAGGGCAGCGCAGATGGTGGTTTGGTTTGTAAGTATGATGCTTATTTGTGCCCATACCACCCACGCCGTATATGAAATGAGGACGACCAGGACGTTGGCGAAACATGATATGCTGAACGGCAGTCGAATTTTAGACGGCTCGGACGTGTCGGTTGCCTGCGATATGCTTAGCCCAGACTTGATCTCTCAAGTTCAAGCCAAGCGGTTCAAGGATGCTGTCACGTTTTCCAAGGTGAGCTTGGCGTGTTGGGCTTTTGTTGAACACGCAATATTGAATGGCAGTGGTCTGCGAAAGGTTGAGTTCGAGCACACTCGCGTGCCGGCCGCCAAGTACGTGTCGCTCCTGATCGACAACAAGACAGCAATCCAAGATTTTCTCCTGTCCGGTCGTTTGGGGGACGAGGATGCTGCGGCCCTCGCACAGGCATTGAAGGTGAGCAAGGCCCTCCGAAGCTTTACTCTCTCATCCTTCTCCCTTGCTTCCGAAGCTGCCATTGGAGACGATGGCGCTCGAGCCCTTGCAGAGGCGCTGGAGGCGAATGAGCTCCTGCAGAGGTTCTCCCTCTCCTCGTACTCCCTCTACGACCCTACCATTGGAGACGCTGGCGCAGTGGCCCTCGCAAAGGCCTTGGAGGTGAACGCTGTCCTGAAGAGCTTTGTCCTCTCCTCCACCTCCGTCAGCTCCGCCGCCATCGGAGACGCTGGCGCAGAAGCCCTCGGGGAGGCGCTGGCGGTGAACACGGCTCTGCGACGCTTCGATCTCTCCTCCACCGCCAGGGCTGCCATTGGGAATGACGGGGCCGAGGCCCTCGCAAGGGCGCTGGAGGTGAACACGGCCCTGCGAAGCTTTGCTCTCTCCTCCTCGTCCTCGTCCCACGCTGGCGATATCGGCGACGACGGCGCGAGGGCGTTCGCGAGAGCGCTGGGTGCTCACCAGGGCCTGCGCAACTTCACCCTCACCGGCTCGAACAACATCTCACCCGCTGGAGCCCAAGCTTTTGCGGATGCGCTGCGGCCGGTCGACGGCCCGAAAGTGTTGAAGATATTGGAAGTTTCCCAAGACGGGCCCACAGATAGGTGGGGCGAAATATTTGCAGATCGCGTTTTTGAGTTTTTGGCGCAAGATAAAGAGCCCCCGACCATTATATTTTCGGGGAAGGTTGCAATCGCGGTCTACCAAAAACGACTTTTCAGTCATTTCGTACGAAGATCTCGAGACCTTCAGAAACAGGCCCGCTATATACAGATTCTCGCCTGCCTGTGCACATTCTTGTTGGTAGTCATTGCCTCGATGTGGAATTTCCGAAACATCCTCACAAAGAAATGTACCACCTTTCAGGAGAAGTATTTCCCAGAGAAAATGTTCTTCCCAGGTCTCTCAGACCAGCCTTCGCGAGGAGGCGCCACCGAGTTAAGCGTTATGGCGTCTACGTCGCGTGCGATGGCAAGAAGGTCATCGACGGTATCTAACATGGTAAAATTTGATGCGCTAGGCACATTCAGGACGGGGCGACCCCGCTGTGCCGCTGGAGGCCTCGTTGACTTCCTCGGGGTCACGTTCGAGACCCTGCGGAACATGTACCAGGACCCCTCGAAAGCGCTGCTCGACGAGTGGGAAGCGCTCCCCGAGGCCACGATTCGGAAGTATCCAGCGGCCTTCGACACGTCCCGCCGCCGCCGCGCCTGGGATGTAGAGGCTGCCCTCCCCCCTTCTCCTCCATCCATCGAGGCAGGTGGAGACGAGGAGGGGTATTTTTGACATCCACCGTGGGACCGCACGGCATACCACCTGCTGGGTCTGCCACCAAACAGTCACGAGGCTCGCCAGAGACAGGGGCGACCGTGCCCGCATGAGAGCCTCACAGCACAGCCTCGCCTCGGCGACCGCCGCTGCGTGGCGTCGCCTTCGCCAGCTGCGTTCGCAGGGCCCGTAGTGGACGACCCCCGGCACGGTTCGACCCTCGGCTCGGTCAGCGCAGGCGTCGGCACGGCAACAGCAAGGCAAGGCAGCCGTTCCCCAAAAGGAACCGACTGTGATCGCAGCCTGCTGGCACGGCTTGGCGCGACCGACGAGGTCAGCGAGCATTGTGATCGCAGGCCTGCCGGCTGGGAAGCACGCGGTCGAACCTAGCGAGCAGAGGCGCACGCAGACGTCGCAGACGAAACCAGAACAACAGGCGAGGACGGACCAGGAGAGGCAGTACCTCGTCAGACGAGTCCTCGTCATGGCCGCTTCCAGCGGCATTCGAACCTGCTGCTTGCCAGAGACGCAGCCTGTTGCGCACTGTGCGCAGCTCGATCTGATCTTCTCGCAGAAAAACGGGGCATTGCCACAAGAGCTTGCTGGGTACCGTCGAGACACGGCCCAACCTCGACGGAGACTCCAGGCAGCGTCGGGTGCTTACCGTCGCACACCGACTCCCAGACAAATCGTGCTCCAGGACTTTGCGGGGCTCCTTCACAAGCCTTGGGCAGGTTACGCGGGTGACCGTGAGCAGAGTATGCTTTGCAACGCAGTCAGATGACCAGGACCGCGCCGTCCGAGCAAAGCAACGCAACGAGTTGCGCCTCAAGCTCGACAGAACAGCAGGGTTCAGCCTGGAGTCATTGGTGCACGTCCCTGGCGTGGGCGGGTAAGGCCACAGAGGCGTCCCCCATCCTGAGGCATTCCTTTGGCAACTCGCAAGCGTTCGATACACTGCCAAAACATCGAGATTCTGGTCCATTCGCGCGGCTGCCCTGCTGGGCACTGATGACGAGGAGGTTTCTTAACCAGCTGGGCGTCCTTGATGTTGAGCCTAGGCTACTCGGGCATGAGCTCAGCCGGTAGACGCATAACACCCTCGGAAATCTTGATACACCGATCGAGCCAAGCAATTTCGTCTGGCGAGGCCTGCGTGTGCCTAGTCCAGCGAGTATTTGCAATCTGATCGGCAAGGTCGTTGCCGATCTTGAAGAGAAAAACCGCTGCTGCTGAGTCAGGTCCTCTAACTATTCAGCATACGATTTGATATAAACCACGTCCTCGACCAGCTTCCTATGAGTGGGAAGCCGAAATCCGGAATAAACTCGCTTATATGACAGGGCGCGCAGAAGGGATCCATTTGCCTGCGCGACGACATTCTTGCAATCAGAATAGGTGGAGCTGCCTCGCTGGACCTGCGCCTCGCTGGCCCTGCATGGCGGCAACGGCGCAAGCCCCGAATTCCCCCCCCCCCTGAGCAGTCTGCAGGTTGGGGGCACAGACGGGGGCAGCTGATACGACAAGTCTCCAATCCGCCGTCTCCTGCAACTACTACCTCCCCCCCACCCCGCCCTGGAGTGTTCTGTCGCAGCGTTGGGAACGAAGGACCCGTCAACCAAAATGTGACCAGAGATGTCGAGAGAGCGGCATTCGGGATCGCGAGCCCTCAACACTTCGAGACCATTGTCTTCCACATCACCACGAGCAAGGAATGGGAAAACATCGCCAGGGCGTCGGAATACGCCGCGGGTGTATAACAGGACATATTGTTGATTGTTGTCCGAGGCCAGCCCAGGGGTGGGGAGCAGATCAAACTTACCACGATAATTTTCAACCACCTCTTCCCGTTTATCCTGGCAAATTGGGCAGAACCAGTGCCGATGTAGCATAGTGCCAGGACTAGATCGCACACGATGTCTACTTCGTAGCCAACTTCGCGGGCTCTAGTTCCGGTCCGCGCCGCACTGCATGCAGCAGCATTTGCACACCCTCGGTGGAGCGGCGCGTAACGCTTGGACCGCAACGTAGCAGCAACAACCTCGTGACAAACTCGAGCGCCAAGAGTATTGGAAGCAGGGCTGCATCACTAGCTCGCTCATGGGTCCTCTGCACAGCCGCCTGTAAAAGCTTTACGGAGGGCAGGGGAGGTGACCGTAAGAGAAATTTCAGTTCCAATATCGTCCAGGACAGTGCAGTGATTGGGCATCGGCCAGGAAATCCGTTTCAAAGTCAACGTCATGGCCCGCAGGGGCCCAGAACCCCCCCTCCAGGTTTTGGGCCCTTGGCTCCCGAACACATGGGTTCAAGCTTGATGCAGCTCGGACCAAGGAAGAACACACGGAGCAAGCTTGGTCTGATGAGCCCATATCTCCCTGGAGTAGCGCACGATGGGCGCCACCGCGGGGTACAAGGTAGTGTCCTGCGACAGAATCAACAGCGAGGTGCGAGACCTTATCTTGGCAGATGGCTGCATGGTGCTGGCAGCAGCAATCTGCAACCTGTCCCATTCAAAGTTGGAGATGCCCTGGACCTCGGCACCGTGAGGCTGGGCATGGAGGAGGATATGAACCGGGAGCGAGAGAAGCAGAAGAGTGATGTTGGTGATGATGATGATGATGATGATGATGATGATGATGATGATGATGATGATGATGATGATGATGATGATGATGATGATGATGATGGTGGTGGTAGTGGTGGTGGTGGTGGTGATGATGCTGGTGATGATGTTGCTGCTGATGCTGATGACGATGATGACGATGATGATGGCGATGATGGCGATGACGATGACAATGGTGATGACAGCAATGATGATGATACTGCTGCTGATGATGCTGATGATGATGATGATGTTGCTGATGATGATACTGGTGCTTATGCTGATGATCATGCTGATGATGATGCCGATGATGATGATCATGATGATGTTGATGATGATGGTCTGACGATGGTGGTGGTGGTGATGATGATTGTGGTTATGGTGATGGTGATGGTGATGGTGATGGTGATCGTGATGGTGATGGTGATGGTGATCGTGATGGTGATGGTGATGGCGATGGTTATGGTTATAATAATGATGATGGCGGTGGTGATGATGATGGTGGTAGTGATGATGATGATGATGATGATGGTGATGATGATGATGATGATGATGATTAAGATGCTGATGCTGATGATGACGATGATAACAACTACGGCAATGGTGGTAGTGATGATGATGATGGTGATGATGCTGATGATGGTGATGGTGACGGTGATGGTGATGTTGATGAGGATGATGGTAGTGATGATCATGATGCTGATCATGCTGATTGTGTTGATAATGCTTATTCTGAGAATGACGATGACGATGATGATGACGATGATACTGACGTGGGCATTGATGATGTTGATGATGATGACGATGATGATGATGATGATGCCGATGATGATGACGTGGGCATCGATGATGACGATAATTTTGACGATGATAATGACGATGATGATGATGATAAGGATGATGATGATGATGATTATGATCATGATGATGATGATGATGGTTATGATGATGATGATGATGATGATGATGATGATGATGATGATGATGATGATGATGATGACGATGATGATGATGATGATGATGATGATGATGATGATGATGATGATGATGAGGTGGAGGATGAAGGTGGATGGAGGAGGATGGAGGAGGATGGAGGAAGATGGGGGAGGATGGAGCAGAAGGATGGAGGAGCGGGACGACACCAGCCGTGCTCCAGCTTCTTCGGCCTCGCCACAGCAGCAGCGCTGCTCCTGGTGGGCCTGTTGGGGGGCACGGACTTGGTTTGCCGGAGTCTCGTTTCGCCGGCGCTCGTTTCGCTGGCCCTCGTTTCGCCGGGGCTTGTTTCGCCGAGGTTCGCTTCGCCAGGCACGTGGAGGATCAGGAGGACGAAGATGAGGAGGAGGAGGAGGAGGAGGAGGAGGAGGAGGAGGAGGAGGAGGAGGAGGAGGAGGGGGAAAGGGAGGGGGAGGAGAAGGAGGAGAAGGAGGAGGAGGAGGAGGAGGCGGGCGGACGCCTAAAGGGCGGGTCGGGTCTGGCGGGCGGGACATTAAGGTATCGACTAGACGTAAGAGTGATCGCCCGCGCCAAATGGGGTCCCCCGGTCACCGAACGCGATGCGGTAGCAGCGTCTTGCGTGCTCGTGTTTGGTCCCCCCGCGGCCCCCAAAGAGCCGCGCACCAGAGGTCACTCTAACCCAGGGTCACTCGTTGCGTGTAGTCGAAAGTATGCTGACGCATCATCGAACTCGCACACGCGAGCCCTGACGGGCGGGTCGAGTCGGGCGGGCGGACCCTGACGGGCGGGTCGGGTCGCGCGGGCGGAGCCGGGCGAATCGAGACTCGGGCGAGCTGGGCCTGGGCGAAGCGAGCCGGGCGCATCGAGCTTGGCGATTCGAGCTCCGGGCGAGTCGAGCCGGGCGAGTCGAGCCGGGTGAATCGAGGCTCGGGCGAGTCGAGCTTGCGTCTCTTGGGGCCCACCACCCAGGCCTCACTCCAGAGAGGGCCGCGCCATCCGAGCGGCCGAGATGCTGTCGGGGACCCCGAGGCGGGGCGGTGACTGTGCCGAGACGACGACGACGACGACGACGACGACGACGACGACGACGACGACGACGACGACGACGACGACGACGACGACGACGACGACGACGACGACGACGACGACGACGACGACGACGACGACGACGACGACGACGACGACGACGACGACGACGACGACGACGACGACGACGACGACGACGACGACGACGACGACGACGACGACGACGACGACGACGACGACGACGACGACGACGACGACGACGACGACGACGACGACGACGACGACGGACGACGACGACGACGACGACGACGACGACGACGACGACGACGACGACGACGACGACGACGACGACGACGACGACGACGACGACGACGACGACGACGACGACGACGACGACGACGACGACGACGGACGACGACGACGACGACGACGACGACGACGACGACGACGACGACGACGACGACGACGACGACGACGACGACGACGACGACGACGACGACGACGACGACGACGACGACGACGACGACGACGACGACGACGACGACGACGACGACGACGACGACGACGACGCCGCCGACGACGACGACGACGACGACGACGACGAGGGGAGGGCGCACAAGGAGAGTCAGTGAGGACTTTGGTTGCTCTCCGCGGATGCCTCGAGCAGCTGGGGACCTTCTGGGTCCCAAGACCGTGCGGTGACGGACCGTGCGGTGACCCAGAGATCCGACGTCTCGATTTTTTCGAGGCGCGGGCCCCCGACCTCCCGATCACTTCCCTGGGACCGGTTTCTCATCCCGAGTCGTTTTTGGACGGTCCCGGGGTCCGGCGAGGGCCCCGAGGGGCCAAAAGCCATGAAAAACTTTCGCCCGGATTTTTTCGAGGCGCCCGATGTTTGGGGAGGTCGGTGGGGATTCCGAGGGCACCTCGCGGGCTGGCACCGCGCCGTCTTGGGGCGCCCCGAGGCGGGCGTCCCTGCCTCGGCGCTCTGGAGCCGGCGGCCTGCCGTCATCTCTCCAGACCCCGACGACATGATTCGGGAGGGGGACGAACCCAGACATCGGGCGCCTCGAAAAAATCGAGACAGAGGTTTTTCATAGTTTTTGGCCTCTCGGGGCCCTCGCCGGGCCTCGGGACCGTCAAAAAATGACTCGGGATGAAAAGCCGGTCCCAGGGAAGTGGTCGGGAGGTCGGGAGCCCGCGTCTCGAAAAAATCGAGACGTCGGAGGTCTGGGAAGACACACACACACACAGACACTTTTTTTGATCTGCAGGGCGAGAGCGAACCTCTTCCGCTGAAAGCCACGCGGGACGCGCACAGCTTCAATGAGCAGAGAAGGGGCGGAAGAAGGCGGGGCCTCACGCGGCCAGGAGCGGGCGAAGCCCAGGGACGAGGCGGTGCCGAAGTGGACGTGCAGGAAAAGGTACACCTTGGACAGGAGCCCTGTGGTGAAGTCCCGGGAGGAAAAAAGCGGGTGGTGTAGCCGTCAGCGGCGCCCCGAGAACACCAGCCTCACAAATTGCGGGAGAGGACGCGCCACTTGACCAGGCCGACGTCCGAGAGGAAGAAGAGCACCACGGAGTTGGAGCGCAACGTTGTGCCACCAAAGTGATGTCAGGAGCACCAGTCGTGGTAGTCCACTCCACGGACTTGGGGACCCGCAGCCTGAGGCGCGGCAGCCAGGCGAACCGTGAACTTGCCGCCGATGACCGACAGGATGCCTGTGCGCTGCAGGGAGAAAATCTGCCCTGCGCCGGCAAGCGCGTGAGGACGGGCGGGAGCCACACACGATGCGCTGCCGATCCGCAGTGTCAAGGGCCGGGCCTGAGCCGCGCAGCGCCAAGATCAGCGGGGCCGCCGAGGCGGCAAGGAGCAGGCGCCCGGCACCGGGCCGGAGCCGCGCAGTGCGGGGCGCTGTCGCCATGGTAGCGAGCGGGGGGGGTAGAGACGAGAGCCCAGAGAAGATTTTGGAACACGCGGGGAGTCCTGTCATATTCGTGTTTCTCTATTTGTGTGTGTCCCAGGGCCCCTGCAATGATTTCGTCAAGCCGGGCGTTCTTACCAGAGTCTGGGGCGCTCGGGCCACGAAAACCTGTCGGGGGCGAATCGGACCCAGAGATCCGACGTCGTGATTTTTTCAATACGGGGTCCCCAGAAGCCTCGACCCATTCCCCAGGACCGGTTCTTCATTCTGAGTTGTTTTTTCACGGCCCCGAGGCCCGGCGAGGGCCTCCAGGGGCCGAACTTTGAGGAAAACCTCCGTCTTTATTTTTTCAATACGTTGGATCTCTGGGGACGGGCTTGGCAGCGAGCCACATCCGTCCCGGGGCGAGCCGGAACGCTCCCAGAGCGTTCCGGAGCGCTCCGAGTCGGCCGCGGCGCCCGACAGATCCTCCAGGCCCGCCGCTTCTCAGAGAGCCTCGACTTGTATCGGTCCGATGTTGTCTCGATTCTGCCTTCGTCTCCTGACGGCGGGGGCATTGGTCAAGGAGTGTGCCCAGGAGGCTTCAGACCCTGGAGGGTTCCTTGTCTGATTCTGGCGGCGACGACATGCGTGGCCAATCCACGAGTGGAGTTCCGCTGTCTTCCAGACACTGGAATCCTACTCTAATGCAGCGAGCGAAGAACGGTATAAAATAATTTTTGTTCGCTGTCGGGGGCGCCTGTCCCTGGGCGGCTGGAAAGTTCATACCCCTACGGTGCCACCGTAAGGGTATAAACTTTCCAGCCGCCCAGGGACAGGCGCCCCCGACAGCGAAAAAGTTTATATGTTATACCGTTCTTCGCCCGTTAACTAATGGTTCCTGACCTCATGCCCTCACCGCATCGGGGGCGAAAAAAACACGCCCCCAGGAAGGAGTCGGGAGGTCCGGGGCCGTGGAGCGAACAACACACATCGCGGCGTGTGCGGGTCTGCTTCGGCGGCAGGGGTGCTGGCGGGGTGCTGGCGGGAGGAGGCGGGGGCAGCACGGCGACGGGTGCACCAGATGAAGGTCGGTGGAAGTAGTTGGACTGCACGTACAGCGAGCGGCTTGAATAGGGAACACTTACTTCTCAAAAGGGGCTCGGTCGTTCCCTAGGTTTGAATGCGCTATGTGTCGTTCCCTATGCGTTATTCATTATCACTCGTTCCTTGTGCGTTATTCCCCAGAGAAAATATGGGGCTTCGTTCCTTATTTATCGTTCCTTGGGTTAGGCCGGTGACTGTAAGAGTGGTCCTTCGCCAGAGTGACCTCTGGTGCGGGCCCAGTACGATGCGATAGTAGCATCTTGCGCTTCTGTGTCTGGTCCCCCCGCGGCCCTCGGAAAGCCGCGCACCAGAGGTCACTCTTACCCAGGGTCACCCTTGCGTGTAGCCGAGCACAGCTCGACTCGGCACGACGATCAGCGATTCGTCGGGCTTCTGAGTTAACATGATGCTTATAACACCGCCGTCCACACGGTAGTTTAGAGCCCCACAGGAGACCGCTTGCGCCGAATGTCCATTTGGGGGTAGTGCGCATCGGTCGGAAGTACATTTCGGGCCTCCAAGAGATGCAATTTCTCTGCGGTCCAGGCTTTTCGGAGTCAGCAACTTCGGATGTCTCTCGTTGGTTTTTCATGGCCTCTTGGGGGCCTTTCGGGGACGGCCTGCTGGGGGTCCGTGGAGCGTCCTGGACCGTCCTGGGAGCGAGGCGAGAAGGGCGGGTTCCAGAAAAGCCTTCCCCTTTTGGGGATCCTGGCCCCCTGGGACTTCTTTGGAGCCGTCCAGAATCATTCAGGGCACTCTCGATTGGATTTCTTGAGGTCCTCTTGAGGCGAGTAGGGGCGCTCTTGGGGCAGCTGGGGATTTCCGTGGGGCCCTTTCGGGCTATCTTGAGGAATCCTCCAGTCTCCAGTCGAGAATGCAATAGATGCCACACAAAGGTTCAAGCTATGCCGTTGAGAGATTTGAGGCTTCTCCTGAAGCCTCCGGCGGTCGTCCTGGAGGCCATCTTGTGCCGAGCTGGGCCATCTCGGGTGGTCTTCAAAGGCAAGCTAAGGCACTTCCGGCCGGAGGTGTGCCTTTCCAAAGCAAATGTACTCCTGGGATTCGGAGGCCAGTGGCGCGGTGGTCTCCCGGCGTCCGACACGTCCTGTGAGCCTGGGGTCCGCGGCTCCTCAGCGCATCAAATCGCAGGGTCGAGCATGAATCGGAGGCCTAGAAGTTGGCGCCAGCACCAGTATCCGCGGCTTCCTCCGGCGAGGGGAAATGATTTGGATCTCGGTGATGGTAGTGATATTTGGGCGTCCGAGGTTGCCGAAATATGATCACCAGCGCGGAAATCTAGTATCATCGTCCCCCTAAGCTCTTGTGTTGGTGTTGGTGCTGATTTCCAGGCCTCCAAATGAAGGGAAGTGAAGGAACGTCTTCGGCCTCAGGAAATTCCATCTGCATCGTGCCTTGAGGGTGGCGGATATGAGACGCCCCATGATGAACAAGCAGAAGACCTTGAGCTTTCTGTATTACATATTGTATGAAGCGGCCTCCGGCATTGAAGATGACAGTAACGCAGGAGATGGTCTCAGCGTCATTCGAGATGAAGGCCGGGATGGATGGACATTGGCTGATTTTGTTAGGTTGCCACAGGCTCAAGAAGCCGGGCTTAGAGAGGACCACATTATTGCTCTTCGCGTGTACACTAGCGCAATGTTCCAGGTAATCAATGGTCCGTTCCGGGACGTGGAGAATCAGAACGGGTTTGCACAGCAGCATCCCGTTCCTGTCACATGCCTTTTGATAGCGGAAGGGCTCAAGAAGCTCCGCCAATTAGAAGCAGACCAGGCCACCAAGGATGGCCCGACGCAGAAAGTGTATTATAGAGGCATGAAGAATCTCAGAGCCCCGAGTTCTTTCATGGCGGTAGGAGGCACCGAACTAGCTCCCATGTCAACTTCCACAAGCCAGAACAAAGTAGGAGAGTACAGCCAGAGCGACAAGCCCTTGGTTGTGCGGGTTGTTTGCGATAATTTCATGGAGCAGGGCTCCGATATATCTTGGCTGTCTCTGTATCCGGGCGAACAGGAGGTGTTGTATCCCCCGTTGACATTTCTAGAGCCTGTTCGCAGGCGCCGCATTGCGAACAGCGCCGGCTGGGTGATTGACGTAAAGCCACACATCAGCTGATCTTTCAAATATCTCCTAGCCTCCTCCTGCCACCTCCTTCTCCGCTCCACGCGCGTTGTCTGTTTACTCAAAAGTTTTAGGCGATTCCGCCGACCCCCAGGAGAGGGACCTCTTGGGGACCCTCTGGGGGCCTCTTTGGGGCCTCATGGGGGCCTCTTCGGACCTCCTGGGAACTTCTTGGGCGCCTGCTGGCGGTCTCGGGGGTCCTAGGGCGGAGGGCTCGGAATGTCAGTTCGAGTTACCTTTCTTGGCCCCCTCTCGGGGTCCTGTTGGGGCTCTCTTGGGCCATCCTGGGCGCCTCTTGGGCCGTCTTGGAACCCCTTCGGCCGTCTTGGGGCCATCTTGGGGGCGTCCTGGAGCGATCTTGGGGGCCCCTTGAGCCGTCTTGGACGCTGTTAAGACCAATCAACCGAATTTGCTCAAAATACATGCTTTCCTTTAGGATTTTGACGATCCTTGCTTCTCGGGGCCCTCTCAGGAGGGCGTCTTGCAGCCATCCTGGGCGTCTTTGAGGCCTCCTGGGCAGTCGTGAGGCCCTCTTGGTCGTCTTTGCGGGCTCGTTGGCGTGTTGGAGACCAGCTTGAGCCAGCTTAGATGGCATCTTCGGCATCCTGGAGGCCACGGAGTGTAGATCTGGAGGCTCCAGAGTCCCTGGGGCTGCGCCGGGGAGCTCGTGCACCCCCCCGCCCTCCGGCCCCCTCCTCTAGCAGGATTTTCGACCCCAGGGGAGGGGAAAAGGGGGAAGGGGGGCAGCCAATCAT